GGCATCACAATATGGTAAGGGGCGTAACATTTCCATCACATGCTTGAGGTATTCGGCCAATCACAACGCATTGGATAGCTGGCCAATCACAGCTCACCTCGCTTTTTCAGACCGATGAGCTTTGTAAAAATCGACAGCGTTTCAGAAAGGCGGGGCATAGAGGAGAAACAATAATGTACAGTATGTGGAAAATAATGTGTTTTTTTAACCTTAAACCGCATAAACACATTTCATTACACCAAATACACAAAATAATGTTCTTTTTAGCAACATCATATGACCCCGTTAAATAATGCGGTCCCATCCTCATGTTGGTCAGCAGGCTGAATTCATCTACGTGGCTGAATACCATTGGACTTGAGGTTTAAGACGGGGCATATTTTCATGCTTTTGCAAATGGCACAAAACGGTTCAAACTGCCTCTGTTTTGATTTAGAATGAATTTACTTAAAAGGCTAAAATTTTGTACAGTACATATGTGGCCTTAGACTTTTCTGATTGTCTACTGTGTTCTATAAAAACTCACTCAGACATTACCATGGTAACAGCTAGCCAGACAGAGAGGTGATTGTCAGTGCTTTGGTTGAATTCTTCAAACGTGTCAAAGCCCGTTACAAACTTGAGTTACAAACAAGCAGATTGTTTTGCACATTACACATTTGCATACTCTGTCCATCCTCCTATCAGGAAAGTATCCACAAACCCATTCGTGAGCAGTGGTACAACATGAACGTGAGGATGAGAAATAAAATGATGTCTGCCCCTCATATCGTCCACACCCTGACCTCAGACCTTTTTATCCATCTTGCTTTTTTTATGTCTTTCTCACTGGACTTGATCTATACTGAGAGTCCTAATCAGGTCCCTAATAAGGCGACATTATAACTGTCTTAGAAAAGTTTTACCATGAGTTTATTTATTCATCATTTATTTCTGCACCTTTCAAATGTGTTGTGTGCTTATTTTGTTTGTACAATTTTTGTCCCAGATGTTTAAAAGTTTGGGGTCAGTAAGATTACATGTTAATATTTTCAAATAGAAAACATTTTATACAATACATTTTAACAATATTTCACAATATTACTGTTTTTAATGTATTTTGATCAAATAAATGCAGCCTTATTGAGCATAAGAGACTTCTTTGGGAAAAAAAAAATACCAGCCAAAAACTTTTGAACAGCAGTGTTTATTATTGCAATTTAAAGTAATCGTAAGCCATTTCTAATATTAATGCAAAAATGATGTAGATACATTTTTTGCACAAATTGTGACCGGCACACAACTGTGGCGTTATTTATACCACAACCATAGTTTTTGCTAGGGATGCACCGATACCACTTTTTCCAGTACTCGCCCGATACCGATACTTTTATTTTTGGTACTTGCCGATACCGAGTACCGATACCGATATTTTTATTGCATTTGTACATTTTTTAAATATTGGGTACAGAAACCAAAAGGGTATGTATAATGTTAGTTGGTTAACTTCATTTATCAAATAGATACAGTCAAACCAAAATCTATT